CCCCCCCCCCCAGCTTCTTGTGTATTTGTTTATTTATTTACTCTTCCTCTGAGCAGGAAATGTGTCTAGATTTTTTTTACTGCAGTATCCCTAGCACCCAGTGCTGATGGATGGATGGATGGATGGATGGATGGATGGATGGCAGGAAGGAAGGAAGGAAGGAAGGAAGGAAGGAAGGAAGGAAGGAAGAAAGGATGCCTCCAAAGGCCTCAATTTCCTATTGACAAGTGGGGTGGTGTACTGGATGGTGTCTGAGGGGCCCTTGGTGTTGACATCCTATTTCTATATCTTCGTAATTTTCCACTCGAATCCAAGTCCTTCTCAGCTGCCACTTCAGCAAGCAGACACCTGCTTTGGTGCTTTGATGGTCTGACCTTGCCAGGGGGCCTCTCTGTCAGGCCTGGATCCTAGCTTCCTCAGGAGACTGTCCCTCCCACTCTGAAACACCCTCCTCCCCTCCCCCATTTCCGGATTCCCCAGCCCCACCATCAGCACCTCCAGACATCACTGCTTTTGGAGAAGAGGGAGAGACGGATAACCTCCGGAGCCATCCAGGCATAAGTCCCTGCAGCGCTCATCTTGGTGGTCTTGTGCCACTCGCGGGCGAGGCCGAAGTCCGTGATCTTGAGCACCGTGTCTGCGAGGTTGTGGTTCTCGATGGCCTCCAGAATAAGAACTGTGGGGCAGGAAGAAAGATGGGTCACCCCAACCTTCTGGGCTGCAGACCTGAGTGTCCTGCCCGCCTGCCTCAGCTGAAATCTCCTACTTGTTCTCTCCCTCTAACCATGAGTAACCATGAGTTACCCCCCTCTGCAGCAGGTCCTTTCCTGGTCTGGAATATCATGGACACTTCCATGCCAGTCGGATCCCTGCCCCAAGCTCCCATGAAGGAGGAGGAGCTTCCTCTGGGTCTACTTCCCTCCTGATTCTAACCTGGGCTCTGGGGAGCTCCATGAAAGGTGGGTAGCCAAAGCCCAAAGCCTTGGTTCTCCTTTGTTCAGGCCTTGAATTCCTGGCCACCAGTGAGGTGGGAACTAGACTCTGAGCAGAAGGGATGAACGTGGTTCTCCTTTGCCTTTGTCACCCCCTGTGGCAGACTGCATTCAGGGCCCCAGATCTACCCCTTTCTGCATCACCTTCTTCACCACCTGACTCTGCACGCCTTTCCACGGAAGGGGAAGAGTTTATTTCCTCCTCCTTTACCTTGGGTTGGCCCTAGGACTTGTTTTGGTCAACAGAACGAGGCAGAAGTGACAGAATGCAATTTCCAAGCCTAGGCCTTAAGAGGCCTCACCTATCTGCCTGCCATCACCACAAGACCATGCCTCGGCCAGCCTGCTGGTCCAAGGTAGATGGGAGGTACTTGGAGTAAAGTCTTCCCTGCTGAGGCCCGCCTAAGTCAGCTCACGCTCCAGCAGGCCCACGTGTGTGTAAGCAGCAATAAATGACATCAAGTTTTAAGACCCTGAGTTTTGGGGGTGGTTTGCTACGCAGCATTACTGTGACAAAGTCTGACGGCTATATCCCCCAAGCATATTGAATGGTTCCAACTTGCTGTCTAGGGCTATTACTAACAACAATTATAATCATGGCTGGTGTTTATCAGCGGCCTATGATATGGCAGGCACTGTGCTAGGCCTTTACATGGATTATCTAGAAAGCAACCCATTTTATCGACTGGCAAACTGAGGCTCAAAGAGATGAAGTCCCTTGGCCAAGAGTGTATAGCTAGAAAACTGTGGGGCAAAGACCTGACCTACATCTGTCATTAGAGCCCAATCTCTTAACTGCTATGATATTCGACCAGCATGTATCAAACAGGCCCCAAAGTGTACAGGCCTGCCTGGGTATGAATCCCAGCTCTGCCACTTATCAGCTGCATAACCTTGTATGATTTATTCTTCTTAACGCTAGGATTTCTCCTCTGTTAAGTGGGGATGATAATAGTATTTACCTTATAGGGTTGTAGTAAGGTGAAGCACCAGTAGGCCCTTTAAAAATGTTAGCTATTATTATTATTAGTGTGTGATGTGGCCATAGTTGGCCTTTACTTCTCCCCCCAGATCTTTGACCATTCCTGGTGACTTCTCCTGTTATAACAACAGTGAGCTAATTCTACTATCATCAAAGCCCAGAAGCCTCCCTCGACTCTCTAGCATGTGACTCCATGCTTCCCTTCTTGGGTCCCCACCTCTTCTGTTGGTGGGGTGACCCTGTGACAGACGGAACACACTATGGTCTTACATTTCATTTCTGCATCATCCCTTGCTTAAAATCTTCTGATGGCTTCCACTACGTTAAAAACGAAACAAAACAAAACCCCAAATCCTCATCATGGCCTCCAAGGTCATTATGATCTGGGCCCTGCCTACCTTTCTGACCTCATCTTCTACCCCTCCCTCATTCCTCCTCTTCCAACCCCTCTGGTCTCCTGGCTGTTTCTCCAGCAAGGCATGCTCATTTCCACCTCAGGACCTTTGCTCTGCCCAGACCTTTGCAAGGCTGGGTTCTCTTTGTTCAGGTCCCTGCTCCAGTATTGCCCTCCCTGACCATCTGATTCAAAGAGCTCCTTCTGCCTGTTTTATTTTCTTCAGAACCCCCTGATCTTATCTGGAAATTTTATCTACCTACCTACCTACCTACCTACCTACCTACCTACCTAAATATCAGTCATCTACTTCTGTTTACTAGACCATAACTTCTACGTGGGGAGATCTTGCCTGGGTCACTTCTGTAATCCCAGCGCTTAAGATAGGGCCTAGTATATTTAATTTTGCTTCAGAATTATCGGTTGAATGAACCAATGTATGAGCGACACCAGACAAGGGGCTCCTAGGGAAAAACGAATGGAGGAAGCTGTGCTGTGGAGGCCCTGTGACCTGTCCTGGGCATGGACTTGTCCCATTGGCTGAGCAGGAAGCCCTGGTCTAAGGAGCCCCAACAACGCCATATCCAGGTGGCACTGGCTACAGGAAACCTAGAGGCCTGGGGGCATGTCCTTACACCCCACCTTCAGGCTGTGAATCAGAGGGGTGAGGAAAAGCCAGGAAGGCACCCCAGCCTTCAAGGGGAGCATGCTGGTGGTCCTGCCTCTATTTGCCCAGCATGTCAGAGGAGTCTGAGCATCAGGGAGGCAGGAACCATCTGTGTCTGTCTTTGCTCAATTCCCTGGCCCCGCCACAGGGCTTGGCACACCTTGAGCACCTGGCAGCTCGGTTGGTGTACAAGTGTAAGGCCTGGAAGGTAAGGAAGACCACTCCCTCTGTTCTAGGGGCTCGCAGTGGTCGTGGCTCTGCATAGCAACATTGCAGAAATAGCGGGATGGATTCAAACACATTTCAGGGTGTGGAACTGACAGGAATCAGAAGAGATGTGGGAGTCCAAATGTGAGAACAAAGGGGAAATCCTCACATTTCCAGGGAGGTCAGGGAACATGCTGGCCTCATTCACTGTTGATCCCTCTCCTTAGCACGTGACTTGGCCCAGCAAACACCAAATGAAAAATGAAAGAATAGATGCATGCAGAAATGAAAGGGAGTGAGATGGGGTAGAGGAAGCTTGGGAGAGCCAGGAAGGTAGGATTCTTCCCCCGCTATATCCTTAGGATGCAGGACTGTGTGTGGCACACAACAGGCGCTCCGGAAATGGGTGAGGCCACTGCGGTCTTGGTCCCTGTTGGGCTCCTGTTAATAGGTGCTCAACTAATATGTGCTGACATCATGAGAAGCTCCTTGATCTAGAGGTGGGTCCTGGGGAGCTTTCTCTTCCTGCTGGCCCCAGTCCCCATTCGACCAACCAATCAAGTTTTGAGAGCCTGTGATAAGCCAGACAGCCTGGAAGCTTTTACATAAGGCACATCCCTTTCCCTCCTCCCTCACTCTGGCTGGGGCAGAGGCCTGAGAGGACTCCAGGAAGTGGTTCTCAACCCTGAGGAGACACTTGCCAATGTCTGGAGACAAGTTTTGGTCTTTGGTGGAGAATGTTAATGGCATCTACCAGCTAGAAGCCACGGATGCTGCTAAACAACCCACAAGAGAACTGCCTCCTACAATCATCCAGCCCCAAATGTAAATAGTGCCAAGGTTGAGAAACTCTGACTCCAGGCTAGATTCTTTCGGTCTCTGCCCGGTGGACCCTGGCATCATGGCTGGACAGTGAGTGCCATGAGGGCAGGCCCTGTGCTGTCCATGCTAGGAGTTCAGGGCCTGTCACAGTGTTCATGGATACATACTTATTAAGCTACTGTGACTCTTAGCCTGGGAGACAGGCGGTCCTTCAACCTTTCCAAGCCTCCTTTTCCTCCCTCACTTGGCCCGGAAGGTATACCGCTGCCCCTTCTTGCCCTAGGCAATATCTTCTGGTGTCCCCATTTCCCACCACCTAGGCTTGACCTCCTAAGATTCGGTGGAAGCAAGTTTTGGGGGGAGGACACCACTTACTGTTGATGGACTTGAGGTCCCGGTGGATGATGGGCACAGGGGCATCATTGTGTAGGTAGTTCATGCCCCGGGCCACCTGCACAGCCCAGTTGACCAGCACATGAGGGGGCACCCGGCGGCCCGCCAGCACCCTGCTCAGTGCGCCCCCCCTGGCATACTCCATCACCAGGCAGAGGTGTGGGGGGCTGAGGCAGGCGCCTCTGAGGGCAATGATGTTGGGGTGCTTCAGGGCTCCGAAGAGCCTGGCCTCCTGGCGCACCTGCTCTGCTGTCACTGCCGGGTCCCGCTCAGGGTCCAGCCGGGCGGCCTTGACAGCCACCTCCTCGCCGCGCCATAGGGCCCGGTAGACCTTGCCAAAGCCCCCTACACCGATGATCTCTTCTAGCTGCAGCTCGTGGAAGGGGATCTCCTGGGGCAGCTGGAGGCCCGCGGGCGCGGCGGGTGCGCCAGGGGCTACGTAGTTGCTGGGGAAAACGCCCACACGGCCGCTGGGTAGCTGCCCGGTCCACCAGCCCTCGTCGCCCGACACCGCACAGTCCTGGGAAAGCACCTGGACGCGGTCGCCCCTCCGCAGGGTCAGCTCCTCATCGCCCGCCGCCTCGTAGTCGAACACCGCGGTCCAGACGGGCCCCGTGGGGGTCGTGCCCCACTCCTTGGCCGTCCCCCCCTCCTCCTCCTCCATGGGGGAGGGGCCGGGGGCTGCGGGAGGCCGCTTCACACAGGCTGCCCGCGGGATGCAGAGGGCGGGCCCCGGCGGCCAGGATGGGGGGCAGTCCCTGCGGGTTCTAGGGGGCTCCTGGAGGCCATGGCTGGGGGCGGGGGCCCTCCGCAGGAGCAAGAAAAAGCCTCCTTAAAAGGGCAGGGTCGTCCCCTCTGATTCAGCTGCCCAGGCGGGGCGGGGTGCGGATAGGGTGGCGGGTTCACCTGTCTCCCCCAAATGTCAGGGCGCTAAGCGGGC